CCTCTCTCTCTCTCTCTCTCTCTCCTTCTCTCTCTCTCCCTCTCTCTCTCCCTCTCTCTCTCCCTCTCTCTCTCTTTCTGGTCTCCCTATCGATTCTCTGTCTCTCTAACTCCTTCCGAATCTTCCTTTCTTTCTTTTCCTATGTAGCATCTAGTGTAATATTAAGAGAGCAATGCTTGCCCATTCTTTATACATTTAAGCCGTACCACTTAAATTGGTTGATTTTTATATTTTCTATAGAAAATGAAATATTCCAAAAAATTGGCTTTTGTAAAGTATTTTGAAGATATTGAATATTCTATAAATATTTCAGAGATATAAAAGCTGATTTTCTTAAAATTAATATCTGGTATATCAAATTTCATATTTAAATTAATTTAATATTAAATTTAATAGTAATTAATATTTCATCCTCCAAACCTGCGATTGGGCATTTATAAAAGACGTATTTTCTACTTTATGATCTAGACAATAACATATTCATGATCGGAAGAGGGAGGAGGATATTAATTCCCACATAGCACAAATTTCTAAAAGACTTCTTAAAGAATTCTAAAAGTTTTCTAGAGGACTTGGAAACTCTTGTGGAACTCTTTAAGAAGTCTTTTGGCTTTTGGCTTTTCAGGTTGTGGCTTTCGTTGTTAGATAATTTGGTCGCGAGTCTTTATTGCAATACCTTGGGTAGCCGGCAAGCTCGTAGGATGGTCACTAATGATGTTCTTAGATTTTCTGTACTTTCTACACTCATCCTCATCACAAGATCATCACCGAGTCCCACGGTTAGCACAAACTCTTCCGTGACCCTAGCAGCGTCTCTGCTGAGCAGCCCAGCTTTGTAAATAATTATATGTCGTTAAAAGTGGCAAAAATCCTACCGGTAAATTTCTGACAGAAATAATAACTCGCAGTAATTAACACATTCTTCTTCAAGTCGGCGAAATTATCGTATATTAGCGAAATAAATTTAGCGTTACGCGCACATGTAATTACCTGGTGTAGAAAATGCGTAGACTCTCAGATCCGGGTAACGGGGCCGTATTAGTAACCCTAGCAGAACTGCTAAACCGGCTCCTAAACTGTGACCTACAAAATCGCCATGTTACTTTATTACGGAATTTACAGTTATTTGCCAACGGCATCTTAGCGCGAGTGTATAAATAAGCTTACCCGTGAGCGTTAGATTGTAATCGGGATATGTGGCGAAGGCTCTCTCCAAGACTTTATGATGTTTCAGTTGCTTCAATAGTATTTTCACTCCTATTATCATACCCTTATGCGCCTGCAAATTATACATCGGTTTGCGAACGAAATCGACTTTTATCGAGAGGCACGGTAATGTCGCGCGCCAAGTGTTCTATACATACGCGACAAATGAAACGAAGAAGCAGTTGCGTACTAACCGTGCTACCTGGAGGAATGCCTGGACACTCGAACGAATCGGACGCGGCTGCGATGTCAGTAATTATGTCCCGTAAGGATAACGACCCTCGTATAACCACGACGATACTAGCAGTCTTGTGATCTGCGATCACGCAAAACGGTATCTACGGAGATCCCCGAGAATGTAATATTTAACGTTGGTCACGAAAGAGAGAGAGAGGGGGAGGGGAGAGAGAGGGAGAGAACATGGAGAAACCACAATTTAGAAGCAACATACCAACCTCGCACAAATGATTCTTGAAAGAGGCGAATAGAATGTCCTCCTCGGGCAATTTCGATAAGTATTTCACGCCAGAGAGGTAACAGAAGCAACAATTGTCGTCGAGAATAACGTTAGGTTTTCGTCTAAAAAATTATTAAAATTGTCTCGAATCTTTTTCCATAGAAAAGATAGTTAAAGAGAAAAAATAAAGTGAACGACAGGACTAATTGTGAACAATATAAAAAAAATAACTTTAATGAAACGAATACTTCTGCGTAATGTTTTTTTTTTACCGGAAACAAGCGCAGCATGTTACACCCCGTATCAAACGGAAACACCCGGTACATATATTCTGGTATAGTACGAAGAGCCAACCGTAGACGGCGATCGACAATTGCATGAAATGATGAGCGTCCTCCAAGGACATCCAGTTGGGCGTGTTGGAAAAGATCGCCGTGCTGTCTGTAAAATTCACAGCAAATATTGGATAATTAGCAGTCTGTATGCTCAATAGACGTGACTTTATCTCCTCTCCGGCGATCAACATACGAATGGCATACCTGAGGTATATTTTAGGCGCGGAATTAAATTTAACCTTCGCAATTCGTGAGTTTCCCGCTTCTGCTGGACTCTCAGCAGAATACAACCCGCCATCACGTCCGACGGTACCACATCCGTACCTCGGAATAATGAACTCAGTAAACCTGTGGGTTTAAAGGATCATTGAAGAAACATTCACATCCGAAAAATATAATCTCATCCTCAGTGAAATCATTTTATATATTGGTCTTAGGAGAATTTTTCTAAGACCAAAAGGAAGATACTGTAATACTTAATAAAACAGAACTCTAGTTGCAAAGTGATGTTTCCTATAATTCTATATTCTAAGCAAAACCTTTTACCGAAGGAGTGTTTCTCTTTTAATGAAGTAGACAATCAGTCGGAAATCTATTAGATATTATTTTAACTTTTCTTCATTTTCAAATTAAGAGGAATATGTTTATTCGAAGCAAAATGCTCTCTTACGCACGATATGAAAGACGCGACAAGCAAGACTTGTAGATACAGGAATTCCCCTAACTTTAAAAATGTATTTACATTAAGAAAAAAATACTTGAAAATTTATTTGCGAGATATATAGTTTATTTCTATAAAATAAACTTATATTATAAACTTATATATCCACACTTACACTCCACAAATAAATTTTTAAATATTTTTTTACCGTGGAGAATATTTTTCTTTTGATTTTAGAGGAATCCTCTTGAGACAATTTACAAGAATATTTTCCGCTAAGAATGAAATTATAATTTTTGCGTATTATATATATTGCCAACTTTCGACTACACCATCAGGCTTTATTGGATCTAACTTTAGTTTCTCAATTTTTTTAACGATTTTAACTTGTAAAACGTTTGATATTTTATGACTATTATTTTTTCTTAAAAGTTTTCTTAAAAAATAAAGAAAAAATATATTTGTAAAGAATAAAGAAAAAAAAAAAAAAAATTTACATATATATATATATGTAAATTTATGAAAATATATCACAAATATATTATTAATGAATATACTACGAGTGTGTGTATATGTGATATATTGAATGGAGTAAAAGGATTGTCCCACGATGATACATTCTGTAACATGAAAACAGCATGAAGCTCTGAGAATACTTAATAGGATATGATTTCGGAATTTCGCTAAAAATTCATGCATTCCAATTTGCATGTTATGGACATCGCGAAACGATCATGTGATTGCTACTTCCTCGCGCGGCGAGAGAGCGATACGCGTCAAGAAGAAAGTCCCACCAGCGGCCAAAACCAGAACGAGGATCAGCGGACATGTTATTTATCGTCTGGGCATCCCGACGGCTTCTCGCATTCGGTTTTCGATCTGGACACGACGTCCACGTTCCAATTTCGATTGCGGCAGGACCTCTTCGTAGTTTAGCCGTACCTATGTCTCACCAGCGGCATGTTGAAAGGTCTCGCTCGCCTTCTCGTCCTTGCGCATCCACCACAGGAATTTGAATCGTCGTAGCCAGAGGCGCGAGTGCTTGCTGTGCTCCACTAAGCTTTCCAGCTGTTTCTTCTCTAGAGAGCCGATCGGATCGAATACCAGGGCCAGGCCGAAGATACTGAGACCTATCAGGATCCAGTCGAAGAGCACCAGAGTCTCCACGACGGTGATGGAGTAGTGTTCGTGTTCGCACTCCACGTTCTGTCCGAAAATCCACAGGCTACCCAGAACATTCCAGCCGATCTCCGGCAGCAACATTAATATCCTAATTGTATTAAAGAAGGTTGTCAATTTCCATCGAGAGTCATATTCGCGTCTCGACGTCGAATATGTAAAAATTAAACAACCGGATGTATTACGCTCAATCGTGACATTATTATATTCTTATGACGAAAGAGAGAGAGAGATAGAAAGAGAGAGAGGCATCTAGTAAAGATAATAAGACAATAAAAGTAACAGGGAACCAAATCTTGTTTAATATAACAAAAGATTTATAGTTATATCTGCTAAATATATTTTTTTGCTTTCTATTCATAATTGAACGATTTTATTCTTGGATTATATATTCAAAAATTAAACATTTCAGTTAATTAATTTATCATAAGTAGTGAATTTTATTAAAGAATTTTAATTTAAATATTTCTTTCTGTTTGAAGATTGTAGCATATATAAACTGTATATCAGTACTACTTATATACTGAATAGCGGTCTTGCCTTTGCCATACAGAACTTTATATAATGTATGTTGAACAAGTTTTATTATATCGTGCTTCAGTTATATTCCTATTGTGCTCGCGTTTGTGCTCGAGCGCGGTCCGCGAGCATAAGGTCAGGCGCGCTGAAGGTTACGCGAGTTCCGACGTCGCGTAGATAAGCTCGCGCGTGCAATCATAATGGTACTAGACGCGGAGACGTACGCGTCGGATTACGTCTCTTGCTATTTTCAATTATATTAATTTCATTATATCGATCGGAATCATTGTTGTTACAACTTATAACACCCGCGTTACAATTATCAGATTGAGAACGCCGTAATGTTTAAAGAGACGAGAGAGAGAAAGAGAGAAGAGGGTGACTATCATTTATATATATCCTCTCTTTGGAAAATTTCCAAGAGTATTATATGGTCGCGTGTAAGCTTTATTTGTTGCTATCGAGTAATCTCTTTGTGTCTAATCGGAATATTTTCGATTTCAGATCTGGCAGAACTTGCGGCCGAGAGAACGGATGGAGCTGCAGATACCATACCGTAGGATCCGGTTCGGGCCGAGCATGGCCGACTCGAAGGTAGGTTCATAGACTTTTTGCAGTCTTTTTAATCTTTTTTCGCGGCCGAAAACCGGGATATACTCATGACTCACACTGCAATCGCGAAGGCTTAGTCTACTTGTGTACATCTCTAAGTACGATTATTCGTTAAGCTGAATTCCTAAATCTAATCAGCAAAATTATTTTTATCATTATAGATCTATGTGGAGCAGAGTGTGGCCGGCCATGACTTCGAAGCGGTTCGGTGAGTCATAATGGGAATAAATATTTAAGGTGGTGGATTTTATAATTTTGAAATCTCGTGTCGAAATCAGTGCGATTATTCCGCTTGGCGATTTTTGCACGTAATAATTACGTACACTCTTACGTGATGCGTATAATTTTATATGCAACCTTTATATCTCGCAAAGATAAACGAACAATGTTTAAATTTAATTCGTCAATTAATTATGATAACAAAATGCAGAGGAAATGATCCGTGAAAATTTAGTTACGTGAGCGAGTATCTGTGTGTGTGTGTTTAATTTTTTTTTATAATATTTAATTACACGCATGGATACCTGAATTTACTTTTTTGTTAAGAAAAAAGTTTTTTAGTTACATATGTTGAACGGAGACTTAAAGATCTTCAGAGACGATTTTCTTGAGATATTTTTTGTTATTCTAACACAAAACAGTGATATGTATAAAAGTTATTATCATTAATATTATAGTAGAATTTAATAAAGAAATAGCTTTTTAGCATAATTTATAGTAATTGTTTCTCTGATTATATTTACAAAATATCAAACATTTCTTTCTCAATGTAATAGACTCCAAAATTGGCGTGATTTGTTTTCAATTTATTACTTTTTATTATTCACTCCGTGAATGATAATGATAAAACACGTTACGAATAAAAGTTCGATAAAATTATCGTTGAACTCAATATGTTTATTGCTCGCATAAATAATTTTTCTATAGAAATAGAAATAAAATGTTCCCCAGAATGAAACAGAGAATATTCAATTTTTCAAAAATTGTAGTTGCTGCGAAGCGATTTGTTTACATTCTTTCTATTCTTTCTTTGTTTACTTTTTTATGTTAATTTTATGGGAAGCATCGCGATCTCACGACTTTTTATACACAACTCGCGAATGTGAAATAATGAGTGTAGAATTTTAACGCTCACAATATATTATAATATATTAAATTATAATATAATACATATGTATGCATAGTTACAAAATCGCACTGATTTTTAACGAGAATAGCTGATATTACTGTTTAAATGAAATTCATAAATTGAATGGTGTATACTTGAATAATTGGTTTGAATAATGTATACTTAATAACCGGACTGTCTGAATAATTATCATCTAAATACGAATATTATCGAGTATTAAGATCAATGCTCCCAATCGATATAACCACGTGCATGTAATTGCATTTGCAATACGGTAAATACTCCAAGAATCTATATGCTTGCCATTGAACCGTTACTCTCGTACCGTACGCTTCTTTTTTCTTTATGTATTCCGCTTTATGAGCAGAATAAACCGCTATTCAAATCTAACGTGACGAAAGTAGGAAAGGGGAGAAGGTGGTATATTCGCAAAAGCTATTGGACTAGAAAGCTGATTGACGTGACGCTCGTTTACTTTTATTGCTCACTTGATCGTCAGCAGCGGCTCAACGTAGCGTCGGGCATGCGTGTCCATGATGGCCCCTTTCGCGCTATGCCTGATGATGACGAGTGTCAAAAGCGTGACGATACTGAGTACGACCGCTTCGCCTATGAGATATGCGCGCACCAAGTCACCTCCCAATCGACAATTCCACGTGTTTTCGTAGTACCTCGCGCAGGCGACTCCTATGAGAGTCAACCTGTAAAATATGCATCCGGTTACGAGCGACGCGCTAACGGAACGACCCGTCGCGGTCGCGCTTCGACAAATTGTCATACGGATCTGTCCAAGCAAGAACTTGATTATTCAGAATTACTTAAAGTAAGTACACTGAAAAACTCATTTAGTTGAGTTAACCAAAATTTGGTTAAAATAAGGTGGAACAAATGTTTTGGTTGTGAGAACTAATATTTAGTGCTTTGAACCAAAGGTTTGATTCTTTAAAATAAAAATGAAACAGGTTTAGTTTCAGAGAATCAAGTCTTTGGTAGAAATTTTGACCCTCGCAACATTTGTCCGACCCTATTTTAACCAAATTTTGGTTAACCCAACTAAATTAATTTTTCAGTGTAAGATTAAATTTCGCATGACATGATTAGACTATGAGTGGACCACACTGAAAAAAAAAGATTACGACGATTTGGTAATAATTATCCAGCCTGTGTTATAGATATTAAATTTTAATACCTATAACACAGGTTGGACAATTATTACCAAAATCGTCATAATCTTTTTTTCAGTGCATGAATCGAAAAGAATATTCGAGATATAGTTTGAATTAATTTGATTAAGAATCGATTCTCATCACACAAATACAAATATAATCTTATCCTCAAATATAATCAAATCTTCTTTTACGTGTACTGAAATAAAACAAATCTGAAAAATAAAAAAATACTTATTCGGTGAATACTAGTAATATTTACTTGAATCTAAACTCTTTTATTCAAGTGGACCGGCAAATAAGACCTTATATTCTCCCACATTTTCTCATAAAATTTTGTTTAAATATAACAAATAATTACTTTCACGACAAACAGTGGTTTTAGGGAAATATATACTTTCTCCATTCGGAAGAAAATTTTTTTCAATGTAAAAATATTAATATAAGTAAATATTAATACCCTCCCCTCCGAATAAATATTTCTTACCTCTTATTTAGATATTTTTTCTCTTCCCTCAAAAGGATTCTTCTAAAACTAAAAGAAAAATATTCTCAACATGCGATTATTATCATTAGAAGAGAAATATTCGTTCGGTAAACGCTTTCGGTTTTTGCTCACAACATAAAATTGCAGGAAATAGTATCTTACAATAAGAGTTTTTCTATTTTGTATTCAATATTTTCTTATTAGTTTTGAAAGAATCCTTTTGAGGTCATAACATTAGATTACAAAAGATTAGATTATATTTCTTTTGGTGTATGTGAGCGAATATTACGTACGATGTTTCTGAAACTAATCGATAATCATATATCATTGCACACTCATGCACCCATTGCACTCATGTATCGACACTCACCATACAATACGGATAAATAATTCGAACATGCCGGGATACACGAGATCGTCGGTTGCGGCCAACCATTTTCGCCCGAAGAGCTTCAACGCAGGCATTTCCCTGTGGGAAGAAATTATACCGTATGAATCATAGCTTCGTTTAGATTTGCTCATCGTTTTATTTCGAAACGAAAAGCGCCAGTATCCGTGAACATAACATTAAATAGATCTCCGCTATAACTGTAAATAATTCGCCGACAGATATCTCTCGTTTGGAACATCCGTCTCAATTGAGAACGAAAGATCGGGAGGGGAATAAAAAATATAATTTAGTATTTCGCATAGTATTTCGCAAGAGCAAGAAGATATACGTTTTTACGACAAGAATTCTCACACGAAATAGTCAAGCAATTAAAGTATGATATATGATAATCTTTATGTATATGATTCGTTCGGAGAATCGAGCTGATGATACGTGAAGAAGCAGATTAAACTCGGTCATGTTCGCGAAGGTCCCGCGAGAGAACTCATGACTTGCATATCACGGAAAAGTTTACCTAACTAGCCGCTCTTACAGCGTTTCGTAATATTACAGAACATGCGAATGCGACTTTCTATGATCATAAATATCCGCGAGATTCGGACGACGACACACGCGGGTAATCTGCTCGATCGCGTAGCACTGCTCTGGAGAAAGCGCTAGGAGAAAGTACTCAGTGTGTCCATCCCACATCCGAATGCATACTGGAGTACTGCCTTCTGAGTGACATTCTTAAATGGACCGTGAACCTAGTAATTTCAATCGCGACGAGATTTAATAGCGCAGCCGATAATGAGCGCTGATAGCGCTTAATTATCTCCTCGAGCAATCCACATGGTGTAAACTACGTGCGGATAATAACGCGCTTCTTATAAGTATGCAGCAATTCGATATGAGACTTGTTCAGAACGTTGCTGGCAACGTCGGTTTCGTTTTGCCGTAAGAGCTCTATCTACCCTTCAAGCCGGATGACGTGCTTTTTGTAAACGCCGTGCCTTCTTCCACGCGACATCTCATTGTGCGCGAGACAATGGCGAGGAAGCGGGTCTCGCGTGCAAGTTAGCGAAGTGTGCCTCGCTTGATCGTGGTAGCACTAACTGCCACCATCAATCGTTTCGCCAATTTCCCAAGTGACGTAAGCAAATAAGAAGAGGCGCCAGCGAGAGCGACATTGATGTATACATTTCTTAATTTTACATATATGTTGGATTGCGTGTGCAATGAGTAACATCGTACCTTTTCAGCTATAATGAAAAGATTATATTTCTATGTGCATTGTAATTTTGCGGAACAATGTATGCGCAGGATGACTGAAGTTCTGAGAGAAAAAACTGAGAGAAAATAACATCTAAAAAATAAAACATATATTTATTTAGCATTGACACTGAAATAATTTGCTTACATTTATATTTTTTTATTTAAATATAGAATCAACAATTGCTTTCGTAAAAAGCTGAAGTTTTACATTTAAAATTTATCGCTATTTTTTTGAATTTCCTAAAACATTGTCTGTGATATGTAGAATTTATATGCAATATTTGCAAGCAAATTTAACTTCCGTTATCAATTATTAATCTGGCTTCAATTTGAATGGACGTCACAGAGAAACTTTCTTGTTCAATTTTATAAGTAGTTCAGAGAGAAATTGTGTGTCTGTCATTTATATCGATTAAATTTATGCGATATCGCATACATTTAATATTTATGTGGCATTTATTTAATACGATGTCATCTATATCGATAAATATATGCGATATCGTAGTGTTTGCTAGTCATTTATCTATCTTAGCTAATTTCTTGTATCTGGACAATTTTTTCCATGACTGCATGACCATCTCTTTGAGTGCACACATTTAAAGAAAAATCTCGAATTTCCCGGATTTGGTAGATATAATTAACTAATAAGGTCCAGTAACTGTGATAAGACTCACTCACGAGATCACAAGAACTGAAATTCTTGTGCAACATTATTCGCCACTCGGTAACATACTTTCGTAATTTGAGCTCATTGGACTTTTGAAATCACTCGTTACAACCGAATTCCCGCATTTCCCGTTTTCTGCCTTTTCGATTGGCTTCGATGTCTTTGGGTTTACGCGCGAATTAGCATTCCCTAGCCGGTTGCGTAAATAACTTTCGAGCGTTTAACCACGGGAAAGCACTTTACGTCATAACGCGTATACTTTTTAAACGCGTCAATTAGTTGCAGCTATACGATTGCTCAATTGCTTTCTTTCATAAAGCACGCGATTACACGCAAACGTGGAAATTTCATGCGGAATTATAGCATATTATTATGGAACACAGCGATGAGAAAAGGGAGGAGGAAGAAAACTTGATATTAATATTATGGTAATTTCGTCATCGTCAGCGACGGCGGAGATATATTGGGTGACTATTGATCGAGACACGTCATCGGTATAAATTGTAAACAACTGAGCGTTATTACAACCTTCGGCCGCAACAGTACGATGCCATTTAAGTTAAAAATACCGGGAAGTGTCGTTGTAAAATGTTTCCTTCCCTTTTTTGTATTATTGTCGTTGTGGCTTTTTAAAGAAGAACAAAATTCCTCGGAAGATTACGCGTCAACGAGAAAAGGCAACCGTGACTGGCCGCAATTCTACAGGTGGCAATTAATGTTTCCTCGACATTCGTTTCACCATTGTCTTGCACAATGAGATGGCACGTCATATGGAAACAGGTATGGGGTGTTACCTGAAAAGAGTATATCATCCGGCTTGAAAAGTGAAGGGTTCACGATAAAAAGAGAAATACCGTTCGCGACGAAAGATTGTAATCCCGGTGCGATTAGGTAGAAAATTGCACGTAGCAAGAATGAAATTTGAAACAAGCTGCACCTGTGCCCGTTATTCGCGATGTCATGCGCATCGGTAGGTCGAATTACGCGAAATGAAGCACATTGCATGCATTGCATCGTATACGTGACTTCGTACGCATACACTCGCAATAGTCGAGTGCGGTAAATTACGACGGGATGTAAAAACGCGAGTCAAAAAAATGACATACGATGACCCTCGCGTCTGATGCGTGTCGGGGAAATTTTTTGCGCGCCATGTCGTGCACGGGAGATGGTTTTATCTTGTAGATAAACCGATGTGCCAATGTTCGAACCAACAATTCTCGTTGTTGTCATGATTGAGGCACGTTTCTACGTAGCGAGAGGACACCTCAGGTGCTGCAAATTGCTCGTGAAGCATCAACATCGAATTACTGCGTTACGAGAAAACAAGTTCGTGTAACTGAGCGGGCACCAGACGAGAAACTCGCTAACGAAATAATATTTCTTTCACTGTAACCGAAAGCATTCGTCTGAACATTTAGATACGTTAAAACTCAGTTGAAGTAACTGAGAGCGATTGGCCGAATAAAAATCTCCAATAGGAATCTCTCTGTTCTTACAACCGAAATTTTCATTTGGTTTCCAACAAAAAATTCAATTAATATAATAATATGGAATACAATTGTTTTCCTGTGTATTATATATCCCCTTTACAGACCGGGTTACATTTTTTTATTTATATACCATATCTATTGATAACAGTTTATATATGTTTTCTTGTAAGAGTTAAGTAAAATATGTTTTTCTCATATTTATAAATTGAGGTACAAGCTCAAGTTATATCACCAATTAGACGTAACGGGATTACTGTTACATAGTAGGATTATTTAATCCGTACCGGTTTTGATATGAAAGAGACAAGTATAACGGCAGTAATTTTACGCTAGTGATTGACAAATATGAAAAACACGCTGCGTTTTTACTGACAAGTGTGATACATGTCTGTTAAAAAAAATAACTAAAGACCCGTGCATCTGAAAAAGTATCAATACCATACACGAAGTGTTCTCTAAGTATAATCTCACGCGATTATACTCAGCTTTCGTAGACGGACGAGTTGCCGCGTGTAATTTAGCAGACGTAATCTCCGTGTTGATCGCTCGAGAAGCGTTCGGTAACAGCTGAGGATAGCTAACGTAACACGCATGACATTTCGATGAGGAAATTAGCAAATGATACAGCTGACAGCGGCAGCTGAAGCCAAGCACGTGAAGAAAGCAGGCCGATAGTACGCATTTTGCAGTGCGCAAACATTTACTCACCCTCTCGCTCGCACACTGGCTCCGCTGGTCGCTAAAAATCAAACGTGAACTCCACTTCACTCATAAGACGCGCGTTGTATCGACGAGCCCGCGCGCGCGTGTCACACACGCGTTGAAGTCTCCACGATCGACGTGCACTCCACTTCGCAACGCGCACACACCACCCGCTCGCTCGCTCGCTCGCCTTGGCGAATTCGCTGCAGCCCCTGAGAGGGACAGCGAGAGAAGGAGAGAAAGAGAGAGAGAGAGAGAAAGAGAGAGAGAAAGACAAAGAGAACCTAACGAACTCGGCTGGAATTTTCGCCTAATCCCGCCACCGGGCTGTGCCTTTCTCCGAGCTGCGCGCGTTGCAAGCTGCGGCCGAACTGCTGCACTTCCTGCGTCCGCGTTTCTGTTAAACGCGCGCGCGTCCGTCGCGAGGAATCGATCTCGCGTTAGGCGCACTTGTCGGCGGCCGTGGGCCGATCACCTCGTGGAAATCACGGCGGGTAAGAGGTAGACGTATAAGCAGCGGATGTTATTTCGATCCCACTTCTTCTTCTTCTTCCTCTTTTTCTTCGTTCGCTTCGTTCGCTCTCTCGACGATCACCGCGAAGCAGTAATCATCTACCACGCGCTGCATCGGCGAGTCTTTCACATCGCCGGCGAAGCCGCACTTATCGCGCGTACGTGCACCATCCGTGTCGTAGGCATCTCCCTTCGGCTGGTACCAACCGATCGCGATCGCACATTCGCAATCGCACACCGCGATAGCGCATGCAATAACGATTTGACGAGAAAAAAAAAAACGTTAATGGCAAATGATGGCAGCGCGCGTGATAGGAATCTCCATCTTCTGATCGCCTGGAATATCTCGCGATGTCGCGTGAACGCGGACGACTCGTGCCCGACGAATGCGCGATGTCGCGTCGGAAGGTGCACCACTCCCGTGTGCGCGGCCCTCACACACGACGTATCCAGGCGCTACGGCACACCGCGACTCGTTCACCTTGCAGCGCGCGCGCGACACCCTGCGCGACCGAGTCTCACGATCTGGTTGGCCACGATACTGGCCGCCGCTGGCCGCAGATACTGCCGCGGAGACGGAGGAGCAACTTTCCCTCCGTTCGTCGGGTTATTACTAGCCGCAAGCGGGAAAAATGCGGCTAAAAAGGAGAAGAGGAAGGAACGGGCTACTTCGAGGGGATAAGCGAGCCGAGCCGGGTCGGAGGTGGGAGCGAGTGGATGGAGCGGATAAGCGAGCTCTCTTACCTGGCGACCGGTGTCCTCACGATACGAACGACGCCGGGGCCATTCCTCTCGCAAGGATAGCAACCTCGGTGAATGTCGATATCCGGTGATGGATCTTAGGAAGAGAACCGGCCGTTGGGTGGGAGGGGAGGAGGAAGGGAGGGAGGACGTACGATGGCAACGTATGTTTATCGTTGAGAACGGGATTCGACGGGCAACTGACTAACGGACTGAAGAACGAACGTCTGACGCTCTGTTGCATCTCTTTCATTCCCTTTTACGCACTCAAAAATATCTAATCTTATTTTATCTTATATCTGACGGAAGTAGCCTCTTGTATACGATTTTGACAGGATTTTTCTATAACCAAGAAGAAAGTTATAGAAATTTCGTTTCTCATCCACAAGTATTGTTTTTGATAGAAATTTCTTCTAGTATAAAAGGACATTTAGGTGCAAATAAACATATTCCTCTTGTAAAATTTACAAAAGGAAAAATGTTAGAATAATGTCTAGTAGATTTCCGATTAATAATGCATTTCGTTAAAAAAGCTCAACAATTAAATAAATGTTCCATGATCCAACTATGTTGGACTTTAAGTGTGCAGAGGTCAAAATCCCGGTTTGTAAGATATACAGACAAGTTTTATATAATTCACTCAAGGTGCAGGCAAATACAATGTCTAATAATTTATGTGGTTTCCCGTCTCTGAAGAGCTTTTAGAGATGTTTCCTATTGTACAGCGTTACTAATTTTTGAATTTTTTTACATATATATGACTATGAGTGATTGCGTCGACGACTAAATTTTACACTGAAGAGGACTTAAATAAAGTCGAAATGTTTTTGTTGTATAATTATTAGTATATAAGGACGAATTATAAATGTTCCGTTTAGTCTGATTTATAATTCTTTAGCACAATAAAGACCCGTGCTCTTGGCTCTTGTATGTCTTATTTGATTTTTGATCGAAATTATCAAGATTACTGGACTTAAACAGAATTCTGATAACTTCGACCGGGATTTCTGAGTCATTCCAATTTCACCGGAAATTGTTTCATCCAATCAAATTCCATTTTTTTTTCTGTATCATTCCTGAAAATGTATTTGTTGTTGTAGTTAAAAATTTGTTGCCGTAGTTAACACTTTTGCCACCGTTGCTACTGTCTGGGCCTTCACAGCTTAAATATGTACCTATTGGCAGCTATTGTACATTTAAATATTTATATATTGTCGCTAAAACTTTGTTCTTCCGTGTAGAATTTCCTTATGCGCATATAACAAGTTTTTCTCTCTGTCTCTCGTGCGAAAATTTCGTCTCGAGGATTTCCTCCTACAGTTCCACCTGTAAAGTTATATATATTAGGCAATTAGACGTAGATATAATCGAAGAAGGAACTCGATTCCGTTGTGTGTATCCTTTATTGCTTGAATAATATCGGTATCATCCGATCTAATCTTGGCTTTACGTAAGTTAGAAGTCGATCTCGTAACCGCATTACCAACCGCTGCAATGTGCCGGGAAACACTGACCGCACAGCATGCACTCATACGATGACCATGTTATACACATAGAATACGTATCAGTTTTCTTTAATTGTGTATGTGTGGAATCGCAACGTGTGACTCGTTTTAAGGCTTCCGTATGAAGCGTTGTTGCGTTACGAAGCGAGTTAGATACGTCGAATAAATTTGGCGATGACGATTCAGCGAATTCAGCGAATTCAGGGGCATTACTGTTAACGTATGCGAATAATACGAAAGAATATCGCTCTGAATACGGATTGTGACTAAGAATTTTTAGAAGAAAAGTAAGGTTGAAGGTCGATTGTCAAATATATATATATATATATATATATATATATATATATATATATATATATATATATATATATATAT